GACGACGCTTATTTTAATATATTTTCTGTTTATATGTTTAAATCTGTGTTATATATTTTATATAAATAGTTGTATCTATAAAAATAAAAATAACATATAAACAGAAAATATATTAAAATAATTGTCGGACTTAGTTCTTTTTATATATATATATATATATATATATATATATATATATATATATATATATATAATTATAAAACGCAGATTGTGTGTGTGTGTCTGTAACGTTTATATATTGGATCGGATTTCCTACATTTTTCAACCGATTTCAACAAAACTTCACAGGACTACATAAAATTACCTTGTGGTGGTTCTAACAGTGCCAAAAATGGGATAAATACAATTGTTTTTGCACAAAATCAATTTGAAAACATGATTAAGAGACATCATGAGAATGAAAGGGGGACAACTCACATCGGGTTGTTTGTGTGTGTGGGTTTCTTTAAATATGGTATCGGATTTCCTACATTTTTCCGCCGATAAAACAAAAATTCACTTTTTTTTTTCTTTTTGGCAGGTAGTGTTTCTGATTCTCTTGCACACTTTTTTCTTTATTTTTAATATTCAGAATGCTTTAAAAATTCCATTTACAAGACAATTGTTTATAATAAAATTCCATTCAATCGGGAGACTCATAACGATTGAAAACAATGTTTTTGTTTGAGTTTGGGTTTGACCAATTCGTAAAAAAATAAAATAAAAAAATAATTAAGACATGCGTGTCCGTCAACCTTAAACAATAATCTTTGTCAATTTTATTTTTCAGTCTTTATGATGGTGGATACTTGATCTATCTCTTACTGTTATATCTCCGGGCAACGCCCGGCTCTACTGCTAGTAACAACTAAAGCAACGTCTTTCCTTTCCCCTGAACCGCTCCATCGTAGAACATTAGAATTTTCAATAGAAAGATGAGTTAGAAAATTCGACGAAACGGCCGTCCAGTGCTTTTTGCATCCGGTTGAAGATACTTCTAGACTGGATGAATTACAATAATGATTTGCCTAAATCCCACAAATTCTATTACTTGCAATCACCGTTTCTTGACACAACTAATGCTCTGCGATGGAGCAGTTCAGGAGAGAGGAAAGACTTGACACTTGGGGCACAATCCGTTGGGTTATGAATACTTGGATGAGTATCATCACGGAATTTGTGACTAGCGGCGCTAATATCGAATCTATTCAGACCCCAAGGTACATATGGTTATCTCTTACTGTTATATCCCCGGGCAATGCCGGGCTCTACTGCTAGTATATATATATATATATATATATATATATATATATAGTCAAACTTAGAGAGCCAGACAAACCTACCAAGCTTTCACCTAAGCGGATCGTTTGGTAGGTTTGTCTGGCTCTCTAGGTTGGACTAAGTCTGCTCTACTTTTGTATTGAGCACTTTTAAGTTAGTTGATTACTCGTATCGGTTTTTTTTCTTTGGGCTTTGGACCTGTATGCTGTACGATTATTTTCAACAGACGTTCATGTTCATAGCTCTTCTTTTTTAAAACCTTTTTCCTTCGAAATCAAAAAACCGAAGGTTTTTTTTCTGAGACGAGTGTAGTTACACACACACACACACACACACACACACACACATATATATATATATATATATATATATATATATATATATATATACAGATGAATATATATAGATGTATATATACTGTCGGATCCATTACATTCACTTCCGTGCTGATACCCTTTGGAAAGGTATGAATGCTCTTCTTCTCAACCAAGCTATAAGTTAATAGCAGGACAGACAAGGATCTCTAGTGGTCTATATATTTCTGAAAAATTAATGGAATTTATTTTATAATCCGACATATTTTTTATTGCTTCAAACGTAAGTCTTAGAAGATACTCCTGTTTGAGTAGATGCTACGTTTATTTTAAACAGTATCTTTTTTTCATTTATTGGTTTCAGGTACTCAAGAAAACTTAATTAAGGATACTTTTTAATTAAGTTTTCTCGAGTACACAGACAGGTAGACGAAATAAATACTGTTTGAAATAAACGGAGCATTTACTCAAATACGGAGATCAACTAAAAATAAGATTTGAAAGAATATATATTTACACTGTTTACATCCTACGGGAAATTGTTCTAATCTTTATTACCGTATTGACAACGTTTCTGACGTTGTACGCTCTGCCATTCTTCAGATGATATACATTGGAAGTTCAAACCGAAACATTTCTTTAGTCCATGGCTGTAGATTGTTTTAATTCCACGTGATAAAAGTGTTGGTTGAAATAATTCAAAAAGTAACTTGGTCAAAAGTGTTGTTCATGATGACGGTCGTCTTTGAGTATAGAATCCAGATGTTAGCAGCGAATATTTCAAAGACAGTAGGGAAGCGTTGTTCAGGTTAGCAGTGGATATCCCGGTAAAAGTAGCAGAGCGTGGTTCTTCCTTCTGGTTCTCTTCGCCTGACAAGCTGGCACTGGACATTCGGAGAGAGTAAACAAAACGGCCGACTTTATACAAGACGGATTGAATATTTTACGTCTTTTGATTGGTTAAACTTCTATTGGTGGACTATAAAGTGAGTCAAGTCATTTGGGTTGGCTCACTAGTCTATTGTATCCAAAAATTGTAACAAAAAGGGTTATGAGTTCAATCCTTGGGCACTGAAGAGGGACTAAATAAAGTTCGAAATTCCAGCGTATACCGCCTGAAGACGGCCGGAGCGTACAACGTCAGAAAATATTGAAGACATTCTTGATGCATTAAAAATGTGGATCAAGGATGCTGAGAATACCATGGACTGAACATGTGAGCAACGGCGAAGTTTTGGAAACAAAAAAAGCACCTATCATCAGAAAGAGACCGTTGAAATGTTTAGGGCATATAATGAGGAAACAGGGCTTGGGAAATTTGACACACACAGGGCAGATAGAGAGCAAGTGAGGCAGAGGAAAACAGTGCATCACCAACCGAATGTGCTTGTGTAAATGGATGGCAGAACATGGTTTGGGAAAGATAAGAAAACAGACAATATCTATGAAGGACAACAAAAACAGGAAGTTTTGGAGAGCCATGATTGTCATCGGCCTGAAACAACACTGAGCTAAGAAGTAGTAAGAAATAATTGGTGAAGTATTTCTGGTGTTAGTCATTGGAATATTTAAAATAAAAATGCCATGTACTATTTCGGCGTTCATGGATTCTCCATAGCCTCTTTTCTTCATCATTTGTGGAGATCAAATGTCGTTATACATAAAGAAAAATCGGCCAGCTTGGACCATTGACCCTGATAAAAAGAAATTAGTGTCAAAAGGACGTTTTTTTTTCCTTGACACTCTTATTCTAACTCCATTCTGCCCTCGGCAAAGTTTGTTGCTTTAAAAACAATTATTAGAATTCTAATAAAACCTAAACATATGATGAAAGTGAATTTATACATTTTTTAGTTCTTGAGAATTTACAGCAAAAATATTAAACACTATTTATTTATCAGATTGCTTATTTAAACTATTTAATCATTAGACTGATTATTTACAAGAATAATTTTATATTTACAACATTGTAAAAAGTAAAACTAATGTAATGCAATACTTATCATTTACAATTTATAAAGAAATAAATATGAAAACAATTTTTCATTCATAAATTTATGAACATTTACTAATTTATTAAACTATATGAACCAACTATAATCCTTAGTATTTACCATTTTATAAAGTTGGAATCAATTAGCCGATGTTGTGACAATCATTTAAATAAATAATCTTATAAGTAAATTGTGTTTCTTATTTTTTGTTGTCAATTCTCTAGAACAAAGAAAATATAAAAATTCACTTTCATAAATTTTATTAAAATTCTAATCATCGCTTTTTAAAACACCAAAAGAGGAAGTTAAAATAATAGTGGTGTCAAAGGAAAAACCGTTCTTTTCACATTCCATTTTTTCCGGGTACGAAGGTTCAAGAATGCCAAAAAGTCAACCTTTTACCTGTACTATTTTCATCATGAAGAAAATAGGTTTTTTTAATACTATTTTTTTTTACTCTTCTCACACTTTTCAAAGTCTAAACCGAAAAAGATTCAGCGAATACCCGGATAATTAATTATTTCATAGAAAAAAAAAACGTAAAATTTTCACAGTTTTCCTATTTTCATTATCAGATGAAACAATTCTTAAGTTAATGATTTAACTCCTTGCAAGTTCTGGTGCTATAAAAAAAACCTGCAGAAATTCCCCTGTTACATCGTTAACCCTATAATATACGATGTACAGGGCATGTGATTTCCATGTGGAGCACACGTGCCATGATATTAAATAAGTGGTAAAACTCAAGACCCTTAAGAAATGAGTCTACAATTGAGCAGGTCGTCTGAGGAAAGACCTAATCAAATATTTTGTCTATCATCTATGACCACAGGACAATTGACTGATAATGTAAGATCTCAAATGAAAGACATCTACTTTTCTACTTTATTGAAATGATTATAACTTTTCCACCAAAGGTGATGCACAGAGCGTAGTGTAAATAACTTATGATTTGTATGTTCTCTCCATCGCGTAATGCACAGGTTTTTATGATGTGAAATAAACTGAACTTGTAATAGTTATAAATCTGTTTGAATAGTACACACGAAAATACCCTGGACAGGCAAAGGGTTAAATATAGGAGCTTAACAACATAACCAAAATATTACATCATCATCATCATCATCATCATCATCATTGTACGAATTCTCGTGACTCTCAGTCGCCATCAAGTTTTATTGTTCCTCCTAATCGGCAAATCAGAGTGACTGAAGTTTATGTCGTCACAAATCTGCTCGATTTAGGTCTTCGCTTGGGGTCCTTTGCGTGATCTTCTGTGTGTAGGCCATCACAAAAGAACTATTTAGCTCTCCAGCAATGTCCTGCGATTCTAACTCTGCCTTCTTTGATGTTGTCTGGACAAAGGATTCCATAGAATCGCTCATTGATCAGACGATCTCTGCCACTCTCAGTCTGCGAGTATGGGCGCCATTTAATCTTCTTTCCAATTCTGATGTAAGGGTTCTTGCTCAGCAGACATACAAAAGATAGATAGATAGATATGTAAAGACTTAGATAGGGAGATATGAACATAGATAGATAGATAGATCATCATCATCATCTTTCGGCCTCAGCCGAGATTGAACTCACCAATACTTTGATTGGTGTAGTTCATAATCTTGTCAAATAGCTGAATTCTTGATGCTTCGTTAGGGCTATCAAGGGTGTTTTTATCGTGACACCAACACTAAATGGATTGCCAACCAAAGCTCAGAGAGACTCCATTCACCCTAAGAGCAGGTTTGAATTCAGAGTTTTCCTTCTCCTAGACCAGTTGCCATCCAAGGCTATAGAACCCAGTCTGTCCTGCTATTTACCCATAACTGGAGGGAGAAGAAAGAGGATTCACGTAAGTGAATGTAATGGATTCGACTGGAATTCGAACTCGGCTCTCCGATTCCTCAATCCAAGCCACTATCCATTACTCCACCGTGCCTCCTAGATAGACAGATAGATGTCAACAGACTAAGATAGATAGATAAGACTGAGATAGATGTGAAAAGACTAAGCTAGATAGATATGAACAAACATACCTAAAATATATAGATAGACAAATATGTACATACTTAGATAATGTAAAAACTGAGATAGATAGATAGATAGATAGATAGATAGATAGATAGATAGATTAAGACAGATAGATATGTGCAGACTGAGATAGATAGATAGATATGAACGGACCGAGATAAATAGGAGATATGAACATACCTATCTATCTATCTATCTATCTATTCATTATCTATCTATCTATGTAGATAGATAGATAGATAGATAGATAGATAGATAGATAGATAGATAAGTGAAGATTGTTTTAAATTATACCAAAAATGCCTTCCGTCTTCGTCAGCCGTATTCCTTTTGAGAACTGATCGGTGGGTTAGGGTGTTGGGTGAACCAAATTATTACAGTACATTCTGTTTCTCATATTAAAATATGTATGGTAGTCTATAATATTTGCTAAAATACCAGTTTTTGTTCGAATGGATTCATTTTTTCCCTGTTGTTTTTTGCATCCTGTTGATAATATTCAGTGCAATATTTTCCTTTGTTTGCATTTACTGTAATTATCTATAAGAATTAATTTCCCTTTATTATATTTTACTAATTGCTTTATATCCATTTGCATTGTTTACGTGTACCGGTACTCATTGATACAAATAGACCAGTATTTCTTTTCTGCTTTGGCAAAATTACTTTAGTTTCCTTTGAAGGTTGAAGTTACAATATATGCTTCCATACTTTATTCCAGACAACTCTTACAATATTGCATTTGCAGTCAGGAAATCATACATTCTTCACTACAAGACCACTTTAAAATATATTCCCATATATGATGAAACATACTAAAGATTTTCTACAAAATATCCTTGTAAAATAACAGAGCATCTTATCTGAGGGGGCGTGCTATGTAAAAGCAAAGACGGTGCATTTGAGAAATATTATTATTTTCCTTTACCCGCAGTTTTGGGATAAATACTAGGACCAATGAAAATAAAATTGTTAATGTAATATTCATCCTTCTGTCAAAAATAAAATAAGTATTAATCCTATCAAAAGTATTAATCCTATCAAAAGTATTAATCCTATCAAATGGTGGTCGATGTCCAAAACTACCCCAAGTCCGCCGTTAATTGGGACAAAAGATGGCTTGTTAATTTTATCGCCTCCATACTATACTTCTATCCACTAATCATTTGAGAGACTTCTATCTACCTTCCATCAGTATGGCTGATGCTAATCTCCAGGAATGTGACTCGTTTCTCTTGTTCTCTTTTGATTTGAAGTGGAAAGACTGTATTGAATGCATTACTAGGTAACGGGCTACGAATGTTGGTTTACTACGTCGAGAAAGGAAATTTGTTTATTCAAAATCCATCTCACATATTTATAAGTCTGCCATCTGCCTATGCCCAGAATATTGCTGCCGCATAGGGTCCGTTGCCCCTGCTATTTACTTGAGCTCCTTGATAAGATCCAAAGAAGAATCAACAATAGAGTGTAACCCGGATATAAGAGAGTTGTCGGGACCGGAGAAGAAGTCTCTTATATCCGGGTTTCTCTTATATCCGGGTTTCGTCTATTTTGTTTAGTATGGGCTCTAATTTGGGACCAGAGGAAATCTCTCTTATATCCGGGTTTCTCTTATATCCGGGTCTCTTATATCCGGGTCTCTTATATCCGGGTTACACTGTATTATTCGTCCTGACAGCTTGGCTCCAAACAATTTCCCACCACCGTCAGGTTGCCTCTGTGTCTTTTTTTATAAATACGTTCATGTCATTTGCAAAAATTTAATGGCAATTTCAGTCACTATCTAATGTCCTCCTGCTTACTCTTCCCCCTCATAATTAATGCTTCTGTACCAAATTCTTCCACACCCTGTAACTCCTCGTATTTTAGTGGCATTGCTGTCTTGCTTGGGGGTGATACCGACAAAAATATGTTTCGACTTTAAACAACCTAAAAAGTTTTTGATAAGTTGTGAAAGAATCAATACATATTTTACGTGATGCAGCATATTTTATGTGTTGTCAGTGAAGTTCTTATTAAAATCAATGCTTGAAAACAAACTAAGATATTTAATCTAGAAACGAATACATACATCAAGTTGGATCAGCATAATCCTCCATTTTATTCAAATTTTCCATCTCCATTGTGTTCGTATTTATTTATTAGCTCTGTTTTTGCAAGTTGGCCAACTTACGTTGGTCGGTGAGATCCGCCCGCCAAATTATTTACAATTCCCGTGCGCCGATAACCGTTACATAATGTGCAAAAAAAAAAAAGAAAAGAAAAGAAAAATATTTGATGAGACAACATCTGTTCACAGATCATCTGATTTTCAGTGATACTTGAAAAGCCGAAAAAGATCAAGTGTTTTACGGGTTAAAGAGGATTTCCTTCCATTTTTAATCGAGATTTTACGATAACAAGTATAGGGAATTAGAAAAATGAACTTGATATTGTCTGGAATATTTATTGTGGCCAAGTCAGTAATTAAAATGACATTGAAAGAACTTAAGTAGAAAATGGTTTATGTTGCTCATACATTGTGATATCGCTCAAATAAAAAAGATGAACAAGCAGAAAGAAAGTTACCGTAAAAAATGAGAGAACAATGTTTTATACACAATTTTCCAGGTACTCTCTTCTGAGAGATAGATAGATAGATAGATAGATAGATAGATAGATATGAAAAGACTGAGATATATAGATTGATAGTCAGATTTATATGAATAGACTGACATAGAAAGATAGATATGAACTGAATGAGATAGATAGATAGATAGATAGATAGATAGATAGATAGATAGATAGATAGATAGATAGATATGAACATATTAAGATAGATAGATATGAACAGACTGAGATAGATAGATATATACATAGATGATTCAGATAGATAGATAGATAGATAGATAGATATGAACAGACTGAGATATATAGATTGATAGACAGATTTATATGAATAGACTGACATAGAAAGATAGATATGAACAGAATGAGATAGATAGTTAGATACATATGAACATATTAAGATAGATAGATATGAACAGACTGAGATAGATAGATGATTCAGATAGATAGATAGATAGATAGATATGAACAGACTGAGATATATAAATTGATAGACAGATTTATATGAATAGACTGACATAGAAAGATAGATATGAAAAAGAATGAGATAGATAGATATGAACATATTAAGATAGATATGAACAGGCTGAGATAGATAGGTAGATAGATAGATGATATGCCTAAGAATATACTCATATTACTTGAAAAAAACTATGCCGATTATACGACTATATACGGGCGCACCCCTAAAACTGCCGATGGCCAGAGATTGGCGACTGATCTCTCTTCCGGTCTTGTACAATCTACCCAATGGGGTAAATCTGGCTACATTCACGGCCTCGAAGTCCAGGCTAGTTACATTACATCATCGAAGATCTGACCCCGATCTACCACTAATCCGGAGGAACGAAGAACCTCTCAAGGAAGCACCGTACCTTGAAAGACTGTTGGGCCTCAAACTCACACCCGAACCCAAGTGTAATTTGTACATACGATCCATTGCTAAAGATGCAGGTAAAATGATCCGATTTCTGTGCCGCTCCCGTAAGTAAGTGGATTTCTCCTGCTATCTTCAACTATACATACAAGAATCAGATCAGGCCCAAAATGGAGTATTGTTGTTACATTTTGGCGGGAGATTCCCAGGCCCCATTCTCCAGTCTTGATAGAGTTCACAAGTTTCCCAAGCGTTTACGTCTTCAACCCCTCTCCAAAAGGTGGTATGTGGCAAATCTCCCACTGTTCTACCACTACTTCCTCGAACGACATCTCCTTGTCCCTCCAAGTCACAGGAAGAAAATACGATGCCACTTAAATAGTAGCAAACTGCCCACATTCCCTCCTTATTCCATCGGTGTGAAGTAAGTTCTTATCGAGCAGCTTCATCCCGAGAACCACTGCCCTGTGCAGACAGCTCCTAAGAGCATGTTCACCGAATCTCTACAATCTTACCTTGCTAAAGGCTAGGGTTGACCGTTATCTTTCACTCATATATGCACAAATATCATTCTAACGTAACCCACTACCTCGGGCTTTGTAAAGCGTGAATTCTTCTATAAAAAGAAAGGATAGAAGGATATGAATAGATTGAGATAGATAGATAGATAGATAGATAGATAGATAGATAGATAGATAGATATGAACAAACTGAGATAGATGAATATATATATATATATATATATATATATATAGAGAGAGAGAGAGAGAGAGAACTGAACACGGCAAGATATGACTACACATAGTCAGTTTTCATATGAAGAAGTCCTCTCGAAGGATGAAATGTTAAGCAGAGGAATGTTTTTCTCCTTCAATGACTCAACATTATTTGAGTTTTTGCACTACTGCTATATATATATATATATATATATATATATATATATATATATATATATATATATATATATATATGTAACAAAACACAAATAATGCAAAAGCACAACAGGAAAACAACGCGCAAAACAAACCCACATGTAACTAAAGTCCCTTAAACGGTACTTGTTTTTAGAACAATGTTATATACCAAGCCACACTAAAATCGATAATGAAGAAAAATATACATACGATAACTGAAGGGACCTGGAAATTAAGAAAATACGCACATAAAACATCCTTCCCAAAAAATAAATACACAAATAAAAATAAATGACTAAAATAGAATAAATAAACAAAAATAAGTAAAATAAATTAATCCAAACCCATAAATAATTAAATAAATTAAATAATCTATATTATGCGTCCCTGGATGATATCGTATCTCTTATACTTTTTTAAAAATTAAACATGTTTAAAGAGTTGTTTAATATAGAAGTTTGCACACCAATACCTTTTAATTACTTTAAACAAGCAGAAAGAAAGTAACTGTAAAAAATGAGAGAACAATTTCTTTTTTAAAGCAAGAGAAAATTAAGCTAACAGTTTTAATTCAATCCAGCAGTGCGTATCCCAAACATCTAATAGATTCTGAATTTTATGGATTATATTTTTATTTGGCACCCACGGCTAAGTTCTGAAAATCAAACACTGGTGGAAAAATATTTGTGGACGAGGAAAATTACAGCTACCACTATCATAAGAAAAACGCCAATGAAGGAAAAACATTCTGGCGAGGTGTAAAGCGATCTTGCAACACTGTTAATCTGTCATTGCATTTTAAACAAAAATAAACTTTTAATATTTTATTTGATTTCTTTTATTCCTTTTTTTAAAAAATTATGATTACCACCCATGCGTTTTTCAAGATTTATGTTAATTGCCTTTCAAAAAAAAAAAAAGCTTCAAAAATTATCAGAGGTATGAACTTATCCAAAAATGTATTTGTCAAGAAACACAATGTCCAGAGGAGGGGGAATTAACCGGGATGCAAATGTATAGTGCACAACTGTCCTAGACACACACACACACACACACACACACACACACACACACACATATATATATATATATATGCCAATATTTTGGAGGCCACCACTTGAATTTTGAAGACTCTCCTAAAATCAATCATTGTGTATCGTGGTTTTTCAAATTAACTTTACTAGCTCACTTCGGGCCACACCAACTTTCTATTCCTGAAGGGTTTTATAACATATTCAATATATTGTATTGCCATTGACAACAGATAGGGATGATTATTTTGGTCTTCTTTTCTCCTCAAAACGTACCTCCATATTTCTGATACAGCGAAAAAAATACGAGAAAACTAGTAAACAAAAAAAAAAATCACATCTCACCTAAACCTTTCTTTCTCCATTATTCCTCGTAGTCGCTCCAATTTATGTAGTGTGGAATCTTTTCTTTTGAAACGCTCTCCAGATATCTTCTCACTTTGTGAAACTAATTTAAATTCTTCTATGGCCACCAATGAAATTTTTGTTCCAGGCTATCTTCCTTTTTGCCGAATAGATTCTAGCATACCTCGGTGTTTATATCCAAGAAAATCTTCCAATGGCAAGGAAATTTTTCCTCGAGTCCCCAGATAATTCCTTCAAGTGCTTTCGATTTTCCTTATTACACTCTGTTAACTATCTCTTTATCCTTTCTCGCTCTACCTCTTCTCAGGAGTGCAGTATATTAAACAAATTTTCTGACAGCATAGAAACGGCCCACATGTGTATCACGACAAGTGGTGTAAACATTTTATTATTATGGATGTTTCTGGTATTCAGCCTTTGAATGTTGCAGTTGCTTAATCTTCTGCTCAAATCATGGTTTTCTCACCTCGTTTCTCGAATAATTCTGATCAACATGCTTCCATATTTGATTTATACCTTGCCTTATCTCCTAGCTCTTGTTCATCTTCGCAACTCTATTTTCTTGGTAATTCAGATCACGCTGTAGTATCTGCTGATATTTCGTTACAGTTATATATTATTAAGGAACATCCTATTTGCAATACCCCTTTCCTTTACCAGCATGTTGACTGGCATTATCTTCGTGATTTTTCGCCCATTGGATTGCTATTCTAAACATTCCTAGTGAGAATTATGCCAGTGTGGGTTCTTCTTGGGTTAAATCCGGCATCAAAACAAAAATATTCCTGTCCTGGGTATGACGATAAACTACATCCGCTTTCTGGGTAAGATAATGGACTACGTCTAACAGTGTGAAACCACCTCTTAACTGCTTGTGTTCCCAGGTCTACCATGACCTGGGGTGGTAGCACTTGTTGGGGTCCCAGCTATGGGTAAATAGTTAACCCCCCCCCGAACACTAAGGAAGCGTAAAAATTGATTTTAGTACCAGAAATACTTTGTAAAAAATTATTACTAGCAATAGATTTTTGAAAAAAAATTATTACCACTAACACATTATTACCAGCAATAGATTTTAAAAAAATATTATCAGCAATAAAAACCTTGTCGGCATTAAATAACCCAAACCAAACCATAATTTATTTCTTTAGGACCAGAAATGTGGTTCAACAGAAAGATACTGTGAATATCATAGACCGAACATGTAAGCAACGACGAAGTTTTATAGGAAACTAGACTCTCCGTGACCCATTGGGTCACTGACAGTTTATATTATAAGACATTGAAGTGGATTTCAACATTAAAAATTGCCTGTTTGAAGAAAGCTGAAATAAAAGTGATTACTGTATAAACAATTCGTGTTTTTAAATCTTATTCACTTAAGATATTTTTTTAAATCAGATTAATTTATACATATTTTTAATATGCCAAAAATATTTTAAATTCATTTTCACTTGAAAATAATTTTTAAATATTTAACATATTGCTTGTTTAAAGAAAGCTGAAATATAAATAATTATTTTACAATCAACCGAACGAAACAGCCAAGTGGAATATCTTTGTGTCTGTCTTTAACTTGAAAATAATTTAATTTAAAAAATTGTCTGTTTGAAGAAAGTTAAAATAAAAATACTTACGGTATGAGCAACTCGTATTTTTAAATCTTATGCACTAGACGGACGCACCACGCAAGCACAGACGTAATCACAGAGAGGTGGAAAGAGATTGGTGAAAAGACAGAGATGTAGAAAAAGAGAGGTGGAAAAAAAACTTAAATCGTTGTGCGCCGGACGGACGACGCACCACGCAAGCATAGACGCAACCACAGAGAGAGGTGGAAAGAGATTGGTGGAAAGACAGAGTGGTGGAAAAAAGAGGTGGAAAAAAAACTTAAATCGTTGTGCGCCGGACGGAACGACGCACCACGCAAGCATAGACGCAACCACAGAGAGAGGTGGAAAGAGATTGGTGGAAAGACAGAGTGGTGGAAAAGAGAGGTTAAAAAAAAACTTAAATCGTTATGCGCCGGGCGGACGACGCACCACGCAAGCATAGACGCATTCAGAGAGGTGGAAAGAGATTGGTGGAAAGACAGAGTGGTGGAAAAGAGGTGGAAAAAAAAAAACTTGAAATCGTTATGCGCCGGACGGACGACGCACCAAGCAAGCATAGACGCATTCAGAGAGAGGTGGAAGAGTGGTGGAAAGACAGAGTGGTGGAAAAAGAAGTGGAAAAAACTTAAATCGTTATGCGCCGGACGGACGACGCACCACGCAAGCATAGACGCATTCAGAGAGAGGGAAAGAGAGTGGTGGAAAGACAGAGTGGTGGAAAAGAGAGGTGGAAAAAAAAACTTAAATCGTTATGCGCCGGACGGACGACGCACCACGCAAGCATAGACGCATTCAGAGAGAGGTGGAAAGAGAGTGGTGGAAAGACAGAGTGGTGGAAAAAGAGAAGTGGAAAAAAAACTTAAATCGTTATGCGCCGGACGGACGACGCACCACGCAAGCATAGACGCATTCAGAGAGAGGTGGAAAGAGATTGGTGGCAAGACAGAGTGGTGGAAAAAGAGAAGTGGAAAAAAAACTTAAATCGTTATGCGCCGGACGGACGACACACCACGCAAGCATAGACGCATTCAGAGAGAGGTGGAAAGAGAGTGGTGGAAAGAGAGAGTGGTGGATAGAGAAAGTGGTGGAAAGAAAGTTAAGCCATTATGCGACGGAGGGACGACACACCATGCAAGCACGCACGCAATCAGAGACTTTTAGTATTATAGAGAAAGAAACAAAAAAAGCACTTTTACTTAACATCAGGAAGAGGGTGTTGGACTTTCTGGGCCTCATAATGAAGAATGAGGGCTTGGCAAATATGATACTCACAAGACAGATTCAAGACAAGAGGGACAGAGAGAAACAACTCATAACTTATTGAGTTAGGTTAGTTATGTGTTGTTTTCCTCTGTCCTGAAGAGACAAGGTACATAAAAGAAGAACGAATTTGAGTAAATGGAGGGTGGAATAGGGTTTAGTGGAGATGGCTATGACCCCTTCATACCACTTGTATAGTAACAAACCACCCAAAATCCTTATGCATCATCGGGAAGTAAGTTCTACTGAAACAGCTTCTTCCAGCGAACCACTGCTCTATGAAACAGACTCGCTAGAGGATGTTTCCCCGATCATTACAATCTTAACCTGTTCATGTCTTGAGTCAACCGTTATCTTCCCCTACTATCCACATAGACTACCCCTTAACGTAACCCTCTACCTCAAGTAGACCCAGGCCTTGTACAGGGTGAACCTTACTCTAAAATGACCAAATTTATTAAGATCTGCAAAGGACAGGAAATTGTGGAGAGTTATGAACGCCAACTGAAAGAAGCAGAAATGTAGTAATAGATAGATATTAAATCTTAGTTATTCCAACAATCACCTGTGAATATTGCTTTAGACAGATAAAACGAATAGCAAATAATTAAGAATCTAATATATTAGTTATCAATATTCGGCTTTTTGGAGTTTATTATATGATCTTTCAAACTGAAATATGTCCAGCGGCAGATCTCATTTCGATTCAATAAGAGTGGCGATGTTTACTTTTTATACTGACAATTTCATATCCTGTAGAGTCTCGTATCACAAGGCGCGCTGTGATATTTCCATCGTTATTTCATGGTGTCTCCTAGGTGCAAGCTGAAGGTGAGTCTCTTTTTCACCTCAGCATCGGCACTTATGTCTCGCTTTGTCCGGCCTTACCGAACTTGTAAGGTTTCTGCCAATTAAGATAGCGTGGGCGATCAATATATGAAAACCTAACCGAGTCGCGGTGGTCAACACTGAGGAAATTAGGAATCGATATCTCCCGTTTGCTGGACAAAATATTTATTTCTATTCATCATAAAAAAAGAGTCGTTGCTTCATTTTCAGATGCAGGAAATCGACGATGCAAAAGGAATAATCACAACAGAAATAATGAAGAAATAAATCATTACAGATAACATACAGGCTTTTTTTTTTCTGTTATATTCGATCTTTGCAAGAAAATGGAGTACTGCTAATGCCATATATGGACAGGAACTGCCCGTTCGTCACTTTGCAGGCTTGAAAAAGTCTACAAGTGTACGCGGCTTATAATAAATATAAAAAAAAACTAGTGTCTCAGAATAGTTTTTTTAAGCAATTTCACTCCAAGCAAGGCGATAATGCCACTAAAACGCAGCGGGGAGAAAGAACAATAAAAGAACGGGGTTCATGAAGAAACAAGATGACGATTCACGTTTCATTTAAATTTTTCAAGATGGTATTTTATAGGGAACAAGAACCGGAAGAGAGTTCGTCGGCGAGA